TCCAGTATTTCTACTGCAAACATCTTCCAAGTTAGAGATTCGACCATTTTTCCTAGATCAGCATCATCATTTAGAACCTCCAGCCTGTTAGTTTACACTTAGTTGCTTGAAATGAGAATGACCAGAACTTTGGGTTCAATTTATATGCTTTGCTTTTTCAACAATTTCATTAAAACTGTAGTCAACATACAACTTTATGTTGTTCTCTTCTGCTGAGATGGACTGTGCATGTAACCGAGCATCCTCCTCAGCATTTACAGCTAGCAGCTGCCCAACAAGCATAGCCTGGATTGGTACAACCATGTTCTTACTGTAGAACTCCTTCATCTCATCTTCCATTAACTCCTGAGCAGCAGGGTAGTCTTTGCCCATATACCTGATGACCACCTCATTCATGCTACTCAGTTCAACCACCAAAACAGACAGGTGCCTCAGGTGGAACAACTAGGGGAGGAACCATTACATCCTCCACAATGGTATCAGTGCTTTCACCAATGTGGTTTCTTTTTCTTTAAAATTTAAAGTATTATTTATTTTATACTTTTATCAGTGCATGTTTGTATTATAGAATAGTGGAGTTCACTTGGGGAAACTGGCACATGCAAGCAATGTATGTTCCTCAGTTTCGATACCTTTACCTTCCTTTCTTTCCCTTCCCACTTCCTTCATCTCTTTCTCTCTCTCCAAAAGTTTACTTTTAAGTTTCCAATCTGTTTCTTGCAGTTTTCCTTTACTTTTTTCATTTAATACATTTATATTTTATGTTTATCATGAGAAGAGAAAGCATAAGAGATTTAACTTTCTGAGTTTGGCTTATTTCACTTAGTAAGATGCACTCATGTCCTGTCCATTTTCTTAGAAATGACATGATTCATGATTCCATTCTCCTTTCTAGCCTATAATATTCCATTGCGTATATGCCACATAGCAATGTGTTCAATTTCTTTCCTTTTTTTTTTTTTTAGCAATGTGTTTTTCTGAGAATATTTCTGTTCAATATTTGACTTGGATCATTATTTTCCCGTGCCTTCCCTTTATCTTTTAAAGGTTCTTGTCAGTGAGAAATGGAAGTTTAGCACAGAGGATCACCTTCTAGGACTTTGCAGAAATGTCATCTATGGTACATACATCAGAAAGTGAAGTAAGATTTTTAAATAAATATCCTCAGGAATTTTTACTTTGTACATGTCTTTCAGTGTTTTTGGGAGTACACTAGCCCAAAGGCCACTAAAGAACTTTAGCAGCAGCTATGCCACTTTTTATTTGATTTCTTTTTCTCCTGGCTCAGGAGAACTCCTGTGCTGAACTCCTTTTTTGATGGTGATATTTGTCTGGAAGCAGGTAGAGGGGGTGGAAACACTTTTTCAGTGTTCAGTTAACTTCTCAAAGGTTGCTTTCTCTTAGCTGGATAAAGAAGCAAATCTTGATCACCACTCTACCATATAAATATGAGGCCAGTGTTCAAATTGTAAAATTCCTTGATTAAAGTCTTCTTTATACAACTCTTTACACAAACGTGGAAGCCTAAGATATCCAAATGCCACCATTATGCTTGTTTAGTATTTCCTTCATGCAATTTTGAACCTTACCTGTTTTGTAGGTGTGAGAGGCCGAGGGATGTGACATTTGTTTTTTCAACAGTCTTATATAAATTATCGCTCACTTCCTCAGTGCAGGCTCTACAGAGATGCATCTAAAAGGTGGTGGGTAGGGCACCTTGGAGCTAAACCTGCTGTTGGTAGACAGGGTCACATGCCTCTGTGCTGGAATGTCTTTGAACATTTTATTTCCAATAGTCCTGTGTGCTGGGCAAGGTGGCATTTTGGCATCTAACTTAATCCCAAGAGAAGTTCCTTTGTCTCTTAACAGTGTTGGATTAGGTTTTTTGTTGCCAGAAAAGGTTGAAGTAAGTTCTGGTTGTCTGAGGGTTGCTTTTGGTTTTCCTTCTAGGAAAAAATGGCATGGTTTTCTTCACTCATCCAACAATTAACTTGCTGTCCAGTTTGGAACTATTCTGACAAGCCACAAGCTGAGCTTGTAGCTTCTGTCCAGGCCACAGCACAGCAGGTAACCTCTCCAGATCTACTAGTAGCTGTCCTGATAACTGCTGGCACACTTCTCATTCTTCCAGAGTAAGCTAACCAAGCTGTTTAAGGGGATCCCATCTCCAGTCAAGGATTGGTATTCTCCTTGGAGTGGGGCAATGCAATCAATTTCTTGTGAGACTGCAGAACAGCCCATAGCATCTTGGAAACCAGATCTGCCTCCAACATCTTTGCCTTCTCCCTGGCTCCACAGTGTGGCCCCGCTTTCAGTTTCTCCACAGTGGCTCTGAATCACCTTGGGCACATGCCCAGCCCCCTCAGCCTGCCCTACCCCCAGACAGGCAGGTGCCCCCAGGCTTCTTGTGGGCATTTTCGAATCCAAAGACTTGCCCCACTGTATCCTCCTTTTGAAGGCCTCAGCCTGTAGCAGCTACCTCTCAAAGCTCGGGAAGGGCATCCCTCAGTCCATAAGCAGGGTTGAACAGAGCTGGCCCCTGCCTGTGGGTACTGGTTACATGAAGTTGGAGATATCACCCCATCATGGTCAGGAGCACAGGCACTCTGCCCTCCTAACAACTTTCTTCCTAATGTATTGGAGCACTTTTGAAAGTTACAATGAAAAAGATTATCTGTCAAATTTGTTTTTCAACAGAAGTATAATTCTGCAGACCAAAAATTAGAGAAAAAGGAGGGCTGCAAGGAAAGCCAACATTTTGGCCCTAGCCTTCCAAGGTCACTTAAGACTCAGGACATATGAGAACTTGTACTGTAATATCATGTAACTCAGCTGTGTCCCAAATTTTCTGATCAAGGAGATTATGGGGCCAAAGAGGAAAGTGTTCAATCACGTAGAGTGTGTCTAAGGAGAGTCATATGGAGAGAAAACATTCTTTCAGGCTTTCACAGAGAGCACATTGACCAAGCAATGGCCATGACTCATCCACATGGCTGACACTGACAAAGGTTCTACAATCTGAGGTACTGGGTCTCAGGATAAATCCTGAGGGGATTTGACTGACCTTATCAGATCCAAAAGCTACAACTCTTGTTGCATAGGTCTTGCTTTATCTTGGTCTTAACCATCCAGCAGAAAAGTATAAAAACGAAGTATAAGAAGTAAATCTATGTTGCTATGTTGAGCTGTAGGGGACTCAGGTCAACAACTTCTGACATTGCCAGTCAAGTGGAAGACCTAATACTATTATGGACTACTGGACTATTTCGGAATATTTTGCTGAGTTCACACAACTATATTTAAATGATAGAACAAAAAAAGGGGATCCAGATGAATAACCATTTTTATCTATGCATTCAAAATGGTTAGGATAGGTATATAGCTACATTCAATGAATAGAGGGATTTGTTCTAATACTGTTTGTAAATAGGATATCATGTCTGCATCTTGTACAACAAATAACCACTAGGAAGACAGTATGCAATGTGTTAATTATTGGAACTGTCCTACCAATTTGATTTGAAACTGTCTAATCGCTATTTATTTCTCAGCAAAATTATGGGGAAAAAAAAGAGGTATAATTCTGTATTATCCAGCCTTTTTTGTTCACACCATTTGAGTCAAAAAATGCTTACTTTTATTTTGATTCTAGGCACCTAATAAAACTTCACTCACTTAAATACTTACATGTTACACACACACATACAGACACACACAGACGCACACACACACACACATGCACACACACAGTACAGACTGAATCATGATGGTTAAACTATCCTATAAAGAAGTCTTTCCATGTACACAGGAACTTCAATGTGTTTGCTTGGTTTAAAAATAACATAAAATGATATTATTGGACCTTATAATTCCTGGTTGATTATTTAAAGAAGTAATCATTACCCCTCAAATCAGTTTATTAATTGCTAAATGCAAGCCCCAAAAGTGAGGTCATTTCTTTAATTTATTTTAGCTTTAAATAAATATATCATTCCCCCCAATTTTTTTTTTTTGGTCTAGGAACCTTCCAGGATTTGTCTTCCTCATTCCATAATAAAATAACAGCATCGATGTGCCCAACCCTCTTGTTCTAAGTGTCTGTGGACATAATTGGAAGTGCTTCCTAAGAATTTCCTTCTCACCTCAATTTCCCAGACAGCCCATGCACAGATTCATCACCCCCAATGTAAGGCAGCTCAATCCTTTACCAGGTCACTGACAAAGGATTGATATCAGTCCATTCCCCTCCAAGGGCACTGATACCAAGTCACTGATAGCAATTTATTCCCCTTCAAATAGCTGATGGCAATTTATTCCCTTCAGCTGCTGATGCTCAAGAAGAAGCAACCTGGGAGCATGGTGGCAGAATGAATTTATTTCTCTTGTTGTACTTTCTCTTGTACCACCTTCATATATAAACAACAACTACAATTACAACAGAAAGGTGATTTTTAATATTCCTCATGACAATCAACCGGAAGCCACTGTGTTATTTTACCTGTGATCTATTTTTTTTTTTTTGTCCAATCCTGACTTAACAATCACTATCTTTAAGTACCAACTGTGCCAGTTGCTATGTTAGATGGCATCATGGGGACAACATGAAATTTGTCTATATTACAGTGCATCACAATAGGGAGAACCATTCTCACATGTTTGCCTTTAAGCTTATTTCTAGCGCAGTGACTCCCACAACACCATCTCATGACTTGCACTGTTTGTCCAACCTTGCCTGCCACACACAACAATTACTCTAAGGTCAGTAATCCAAAATACGGCCTTAATTCCCTTTTGTTATCATATGTGACTCTCGAACTGACATCTAAAAATTCCTGTTCTTCTTTCCACATTGCTCTCCCCCATAGTTCAGAGAAAGAAAGGCAGGGTAGGTGTTAAGTAGTTATGAGAACTGGGAAGATTCCCTGGGTGGTACAAGAACTCTAATTTTTAGCCTAACTAGTTGGTAGATAAGAATTCTTCTTGGCTAGTTTTTTTTTCTTCCTACTTATCAGCAGTTTCTACCTTGAAGTTACAGCCTCTATTATAGTTCTGAGACAAACACACATTAAGTAGTTATGTAATATTCTGCTGTGGCTCACAGCATGCCACTACCATGACGCCTTTCTGCCTGAAGGGCTCTGTACTATCAGGAAAGGCCCAAAGAAAGAAAGGCACTGCTGGAAGGATTGTAGCCGTAACACAGTGAGGTGGGGAGGTTTTCTTTGACTTCCTTCCTCTATCCCTGAGAAATGAACAAAGGCATGGCATGGATTAAGATTTTCACACCAACCTATGAGGTAGGAGGAGGTTTTGTTTCAGGACAAACTGCACCAAGTGTTCCAACAAGGATGCTTATAATCTCTTAAAGATATGAGCGGTCTCATACCCAAGTACAATGAATGACAGGTAGACATTTGACCTGAGAAGCAATGCAAAAATCACTTTATGCTTTTTACAATCCTCCATAGCTTTGTAAGAAGTCATTTGCTGCATTAAGCCCATTTCACTTCTGTTATCCATAAAATGAGAATAAAAATAAGTTTTCTGTTCTGCCACTTAGAGAAGCAAGCAGGGACAGGGTGTGGGACTTCTTGGTCTGAGACAGCGATCTCCCCAGCCTGTGCTCCAGCAGGCTATGCAGTGTGTGGTCTGGGCATGTCGGGAGCCTCCAGTCAGGAGGACAGAGTAAGGTCAACTTGAGGTTGTTTGCTACCACTGAGCCTTAGATGAAGCATCTTGACTGGCCCCAGCATGGAAACCAGCTCTGGATATGGCCTTGATTTCTTTGGCTCACTGGTAAGTTCTAATTCAGAGGTATATGAAAGAGTGTCTACTTTATTTCCTCTTTCACTTAATTATGACCCTGGATAAAAGCCAGATCTTCATATCAGCCAATTATCTTACCACTGCTCTGAGACTCAACTTCAGACCTGATACTTTTTTCCCGTGGGGTGCAATGCTCATTTGACTGAGATTCTTTGTTTTATGAGTGGTTTATTGACAGACAGTGCCTAATATCTAGAGCCTGAAAGGGTAGAGAGAGGAGCCTCTGGATTCTCGGCCTGCTTCACTTGTTGGAGGCAGCAGCCTCCACCTCCCTGGTGGGCCAGGCCAACTTCCAAGGGCTCTGGTTGGGGAGGGAGCGCTCCTAATCCTCACTGTCCAGGGAACAGATGGTGAGAGGGGCGGTGTTGGCACAGACGCTGTAGCAAGGACTGAAGTAAGGCAGGAGGCGCCCGGGGAAGGGAGAGCGGGGGAAAGTGAAGATGTGGGAACAATTGTCAGTCACGTTGTAGAAGGATATGTCGTGTGCCTCATAATCTAGGAAGACTCCCACCCGGCGTGGAGGGACTGGCAAGGTCAACCGCGGGTACGCATCGGTGCCTGCCCGGTACTCAGCTCCGTTCCGCAGCCGAATCACCCAGAAGCCATACTGGGGGGATAAGTACACCACCTCCTTCCGGTCTACATCTTCGCTACACACTCCCAGGCCCCATTCAGCCCTGTCTCCCACCTCCACCTCCCAGTAGTGCCGGCCTGAGGAGAGGCATTGGCTGCCCAGGACTATGTTATAGCGGTAAAACCTCTCAGGATTGTCGGGCAGGTTCTGCTGAGTGTCTCCATAGCGGACGCACTTTCTGTCCTCCGACACGATCAGGCGGCAGTAAGCAGTATCTGGATCCAGGCGCACATCGGCTAAGGAAAGAAGACCCTGGTTGGCAACACTACTCCAGAGAGGTGATGTGAAGGTGGTCTCTCACATACTTACAGCTACAGGCTTCTCAGCGATGGCTTGGGGTAGACTGAGCATCTGGAGGGCCTGAGCCATTGTATTTCTGTGGGACGGTCCTGCCCAGCACCCAGTAGTGTCCCCAGCACCCATTACCTGCATAGGTCTTGAGAATCTCTCTTAGCCCTAGCATACGGCAATCTGTCTTCATTTCCAGGCAGACTGGTTCTGGCATCCACAGGCTCCACGACTTGGTCCTGGTAGAAGAGGGCGAGTGCTGGGGCCCATGTCCTGGCTCTGTCACATGGACCTTCCCTTAATACAGTCTCGGGTTCCTCCCCAGCAAAGCCACAAGTGATGATCGCTTGGCTGACCCTCAAACTGCTTATGACACAGAGATGAGGACTTTTCTGACCCTGTGTTGTGCTGTGCTGTGGGGAGGGTGCGGTGTGTGCCCCACGCTGGGAGAGGCACACAGCCAAGGACAAAGGCTGACGCTCAGAGCGGGATGCCTCTGGGCAGCATTTCTGTCCCTATCCTTGAAACCACATACTTTCTAACATTTACCTAAACTTCTTATTGGTAATATCCAAAATGAGTTTGATCAAGTACAAAAAAGAAACAGAAAGGGCCAGGGAGATAGCTGAGTGGCTATCTCCTGGCAAGGTAGCTTGCCTGGCAAGCACAAGGTCCTGAGTTTGAGCCCCAGTATGAAAAAAAAAAAAAAAAAAAAAAAAAAAAAAAGAAAGAAATAGGAAACAGTAACAAAGCTTCTTGAGCCAATATAATGTAATGGGGAGGAGGCCATGGATTAGCAACCGCTCTCTATGGGTATTGAGTTTGGGTCCCTTTCCATTTCTGGCCCTGGCCTGGTTCCCCCTATTCCTTAATAGGGCTGTCAAGAGGCTCCGGTGGTGAGACATACCTGTTTAGGACTTCCTGAATACCCTAGAAGGAGAAAAAATATAGTACATCAGTATGTGCTCTTCCTTGGGAAGTGGCCAATGGACGTCATGCTCTGGGATGCAGTTTCTCAAGGTAAAGGGAGATGACATCAAGGCTGGAGAGAAGCCAGTGAGAGGGTAGCAGGCTGGGTCAGCTGGATTGGCTAACCCCAGGTTCCAGGGTGGGGAAGGTCTGACTGATGCCAGGCAGTCTGAGTACCCACCGCTCACCTATTCCTGGCTGGGTGCACAGCCTGGTCTATGACCACCACTGACCACATCAGCCACCCAACTAGGGACAGAACATCAGGCACTAGCTGGGGGCATCCAGGATGTTTCACTGGCAGGCAAAGTGCCAACAAACCTCGTGGAAGACCAGCCAACCCTGTCCTGCATGTTCTCTCCTGCAGGCTTCCCAGGAAAGCCTGCACTCACCGGCAGCGCGCAGCGGAAAGGCCTCTGAGCTCTCTCTTCCAGCTCTGTGATCATCTTGCACAGAGCCTCTCTCTGCCGGACAAGCTCGCTATGATTCCATTCCAGTTTGTGCAGCAGCTCGCTCTGCTCCTGTTCCAGGCTGGCCAGAGCTGCAGCTGCATCTTTGTCTAGCTGCTGACCTGGTAGCTCTTGATCGTTTAGTAATCGTCGGTACTTCTCAAATTCCCACATGATACTCTGCTTTTGGGTTTCTGCTTGTATCTACAAAGTCAAGACTGTAATCAGCACTGCTATTTCTTTTTCTTTTTTTAAAAAGTGTATGTGGTTGTTACAGATCTCATGACGCAGCTCAGACTCATAGTGATCCTCCTGTTTTCAGCCCCCGGCAGCACTGGGATTACAGGCATGTGCCACTATGCCTGGGTCTCATCCTGCCCTGGGGGCGGGAGTGGGGCCGGGGCAGCACGTGGTATGGTGTGCTTGCCTAAGCAGGTGCTTTTGGCTTTAGTCTGCTGAGCTATCTTACAGGCCCAGCACTGATATTACTGCGAGGGCCATCCAGGCTTGAGGACGCTGGCCCGTGCACACACACATCCTGTGGAACGTTTTGGTACAAACATATGCTAGGTGCTGGGGTGGCAAAGGTAAAGGGTGCTACTTTTATTGCTTTTCTGCTCCCACAGATACAGGGTGTTCTTCTGGGTCCTCTTTGCAGGTGAGGGTCCATTATCAGAAATGCTTAGGACCAGAAATATTTCAAAATGGTGACTTTTCTGTATTCTGGAATATTTGGATGTATGTAAAGAGTTATCTTAGGACCAAGACCCAAGGGTTTTTTTTTGGTTTGTTTTTTTGCTTTTGTTTTTCCTTTAGACAGGTTTTGGCTATGCAGTTAAGACTGGCCTTGAACTCTCGATCCTCCTGCCTCAGCCTCCCATTGCTGGGATTACAGGCACATGCCACTATGCCCAGTGAGGACCTGTTTGAAACATGGAATTTATTTATGCTTTACACACATTTCATATGCACAGTTTGAAGGTAGTTTTAGACATCTGTACCATGCTTGTGTTTTAAATGGGATGTATCCCATGTGGTCAGGTATGGAATTTTCTTGTAGCATTATGTCAGTGCTTAAGAATTTGAATTTTGTGGCCATCCATAGCTTGGATTGTTGGATTAGGGCTGCTCAACCTGTACTATTTTTACTGACCAGGAGGATCCAGGTTATCTTGGTACTATCAGCTCTAGACTATCTTCCCTTCTTAGAGTGACCAGATGTGTTACACTTTTATTTACAAAAGCAGTGTAACATAACTGTATTTCTAGATGTTTTTTCTTCTTGCTGGCATTATATCTGTTCAGTGCTCCATTTTAGATTGCTTAAATGTTACTCTCTGTTAATCAAAAGTTGTAAAAGTTTCATAATTACTGGCTTCAAATATATTTCAGGGATGATCTAATGTTTCATTAACTGGATTCTTAGGAAATATCCTCTTGACTGGGAAAGTGAAGCTCATATATGAGGCCCACATCGTTTCTCATATATGAGGACACTAGGCCAGAGGCATCCCTACGTCATGATGATCATGAGACCAGAATTGAGAAGTTTCCTGGCCTGTTGAAGGCCACATACCTAGTAAAAGCTACTAGGGTTCCAGGCTCTCTGACTTAGGCCTTATATTGTACCTCACAGAGATGAAAAAGCTAAAGGACAACACAGGGATGACAGCAACATCTTCCCCAAGTGGCCACTTACCTTCCAGTTAGCAGTTCGCTGCCTTTCACTAACTTCCAGCGTCCAGGCCTTTATCTCTTCTTTCCTCAGGTATTCCAGAGCCTCATGGAGTTTCCACTATAAGAGATAAATGAGGACCAATGAGGACCCCTCAGCACCCTAGGCTATTAAGATGGCTTTTACATACTGGCAAGGGATGGGGAAAGAAGGATCCCTCGGGCGATAGGGGAGAATGAATGTGGGCGGACAGGCACATCACAGAGGGAGCAGATCTGCCCAGATGGCCCCAGGGCAGCTCTCTGAGCTGCGACTCACTGTGATACCTGGTCCCTAAGTATAAAGTTGAAGAAATGTCCATTTCCAGACATTGCTAGGAAAATGTCCCTTGTACCTTCCTGTTCATGTCTGGTGTTGGTCCAATACTTCACTACCCTATGGTCTCCCAGAACTTGGCTACTCCACGTGTGGCCCAGGATCAGCAGCACCACTTGTGTACTTGTTAGAAATGTGCATCTAGGCCTCATCCCAGACCTACCAATTGAAGATCTGAATTTTGGCAAGATCTCTGGTGGTTCACATGCATGTCAGAGGTAGGAGGTACTATCCTAGAATAGTAATACAAGGGACTCCTATTGGAAAGCATGACATGTTTTAGTATTACATTTAATTCTAATCATGCTAACCACTTTATTAAAGAATAACCAAGTGTAAACCATACCTAAACTATGGTTTGAGCACTAACCATGCATTAATAGGGTGCCTAGCTGTCAATGTTTTCTCCATTTTACAGATTAAAACAACTGAAGTATAGAAAGTGAAGTATCGAAAGTCATCTGACTAGTAAATCATTTGGCTTGGATTTAATCATGTTATGATGCTACACCACCTCTGTACTCCAATATTTGCTAAACAAAATGAGTAAGTGTATATATTTAAGAAGTTTTAAAAATCTTTTATTTTTCATTTGGTATGGAGTCTCGCAACACAGCTCAGACTCATAATGATCTTCCTGTCTCAACCTCCCCAGTGCTAGGATTACAGGTGTGTACCACAATACCTGATTTTGGTGGCCGGCATGGCATGTGGTACCAGGGATTGAACCTGGGTCCTTGCGCTTGCTAGCCTGGTGCTTAGGCTGTTAAACTACATCCCCAGCTTCAAGTGTATATTTTTAATGCTTTAGAAATGTTTACTATAGATGAAAAAGGTAGTTCAAGAGATGTGTCTTACATTGTTACTGCCTAATCTCAACTCCCTGAAGGAGAATTTAAGACCAGAACAGGGTCTCTGATGACCAAATATTGGAAAAACAGATCTGGCAAAGATATGATAGTGTGGACATCTGAGAAAAGAGCAAACAGGCTCCTTCACTAAAAGGCATTACTCCTGTAATACTCCAAGTCTGCATTAAAAAGCAGCAGATGCCTCAAACAAAGATGGCTCATCCTGGGGTGGGGGTGAGGACAAAGATGAAAGGACTTGGGAGACGTCACAAAACCGACCAAAAAGGAAAAAAAATACAAGTCCTAGCCTCTGCTCTTCCTTTACCTAAGGACAAGGTCAGAAGGGCCCTGAAAGGACCTGAAAATATTATGTTAGGTACTGTATGTATTAATGCATGTTCAGTGCTTAAGTCACAGCCGACATTTGACAAATGAGTCCTAGGGAACTCACTCCTAGTCCTTTCCAGCTCTAAAAAAATTATCATGATCCCAAAGTTTTCAGCCACAGTTTTGTCTCTGCAAAGAAAGAGTTTGACTTACCCACTGTCAAGTCACCACTTGTCACGCTGCTCGGGGAGGTAGGAGTTTCTCATAGGTTAGCCTTGATTACTAAATCTCAGCTTCATACCCAAACTTATCCCAGCCACTAAGACCTCCAAAGGAATCCAAACTAGCCTCCTTTGAAGTCTCAGTAACTGAAATCATCTTTGGGTTACACATCAAACCACACTGAGACTTGGGGTGGGATGTGGAGGAAGTAGGTGGTAAGGAAATCAACAAGGGACTTCAATAAAAAAAGAAAAGGTATACCTCAAAACATCTGACCTCAGGGCCCTGAGTGTCAGGAGCCAAAAAATCAGTTCTCAGTCTCTGAGGCTGGTAATTGGCCTTTGATGCAGAGAAAGTTAAATGAGGGGCAGGGGTGCTAGCTCTCACCTTGTACTCCCAGGCAACAGCCTCCATGGGGACAACACAGTGGGCTTCATGCTCTGGGGAGTGGCTGCAGGCCTCACACACCATCAGGCCATCTTCTTTGCAGAAGGCCTGTACTTGTTTCCCATGGAGCTCACACATATCACCTTTTGGCTCCTTTCCTAGACAGAGCTTTAGCAGACGGACTTTTTCTACCACACTCGCCAGCTGCCAGTTAGGTCGCAGGTTCTCTGGCTGGACAGGAGCACAACACAGGGGACAGGTATAATCATAGTTTTGGGATTCTCTTGGAACCTCCCAGAGTCTAGAGAGACACCTGTTGCAGAAAGTATGCCCACAGTCGACGCTCATGGGGTCCCTCAGGAAAGTCATACAGATGGGACAAGCCACCTCTTCCTCAATGGCTTCCACCAAGGCTGCAGGATCCATGGTCCCTCTCACACTGTCCTCAGATCGTGAATAAAGCAGGGAGAGGTAATAAAAGCTGTAAAGAGTAAAGGGAAATACATGAGAGCGAAAAAAGCACATAGATCAATACAAATGGCAAGTAGTGACTTAAAAACCAACTTATCCTTTGGACCCTTTACTGACCTCTTGAATAAGCTTTGGCCTTTTCAGGCTTTGACCGGACCCCTTTACTTCCACCATGGAAGAGGTGTGTAGGGATGCCCAAGTGAGTGGCATTGGGAGTTCTCAGTTTTCATTTATTTGGGAAACTGATTCTCCTCTGTGTTCACTCTGTCAGCCTATTTCTACTCCTATCATACTCTTATTCTGTAAGTCAACATAATTTCTCTTGAACTAGGGTAAGGTCACATAAAATGTGGTGTTCCTGCAGCCAAGGCCTCACTCACTGGTATGTTTATGTATACATTTATATTCTTTAAGGTGTGAAAGGCATATGCCAGAAGACCACTGCCTACATGCACAGGCTGTTTTCTTGTGCGGCACACTAAAGCGTAAAATATAAAAGCAACAACAATGTTTCTCTTGTGCCCTATAATCCCTGCCCAGTTCTCTGGCACTTACATATGCCATGATACTTTCTTCAGCCTTTAGGGGTATGTTTGAAGCTGAGATGAAATAACATCGCTTGGAAGATAAAAATACAAAGATTACTTGATAATCCAATCCAAGTGGATGAAGTCATCATTGCAGAAAAATTAACAACTCCTGTAATTTTTGCCAGGAGCCCATATAGGTACAGAACCTGAATGGTCAATAGCAGGCTCTTGATTCATTTGGCAGTATTTATTCATTCACTTTGCAACTTTATGTTACCAGATGGAATCTACAAAGGGACAAGTCATATTGGTTTTACTTGTTTACATCCTGAAGCACCTAAACAGTGCCTGCCATGAAGATACTACGGAATACATATTTGTCCAACATATAAGAAGCCAGACATGAGAATTTGAAAACCCAAAATGTTTTTAGAATGAATTAACAACTATAGTAAGCAAACCTTGAGCATTTACACTACGTTCCGAGCAGATTTCTATGTATTTTACATGAATTATCTCAATTTGCTGCATAATCCCAGATAGAAGAGCCCAATTCTGTTTGAGGGAAATTACCTAACCTTCAAGGTAAAATGCAGATTCAAGAGGAGGGAGAGAAATCACTGTGGTTTAGGGTCACGCAGCAGGGCTTTCTGGGGGAAGCGGAATTGCACACTCAGGCATTCTCACTGGCCTCCGGCCTCCTGTTTTTCTTTTCACCTTCACTCTCCAAGTGTGGGATCCAAAACCCTAAAGGCCAGGTTCGCTGAACTACCAGCCCACACCCAGCAGCCAGCCTGCAGCGACACTGTGGATGGCCCGCCACTGCTCCTCAGTAGGAGACAGCTTTAATGATTTATTTCCGACTCCACAGAAATTCCTTTGGCACAACTTAATCAGTTACGTGCTTCTCTGTGCCTTTGGCGGAGTTAGCGTTGGGTTTGGGAAAGACTGTTGGGGAGGAAGGCGAGCGTAGAAAGACTCTGGAAGTAAAAACAGGAGAGGGCAGAGGAAGCGGTAGCCTCCAGGATTCAGGAACAGAAAGGACTCTACCTCGGGGCCCAGGGCGGCGAAGGCAGCGGGTGGTGGTGGGTCCCGGTATGTGAGTTTACAGGGCTTTGCCTTCCAATTAGGATCGGGTACCCATCCCCTCCTCGTCTAGGGCTAGCATTTAGCGCAATTAACTGGAAGCACAGATACCTGCGGTCCGCGGCCCAGGGTCGCAGCGTGAGAAGCGAGCAGCCACGCACTTACCCCGCCCGGCGCGCGAAGCTCACAGCTGCAGAAGGCCTCGGCCCTGGCTGTAGAAAGCGGCTCCGTGGCGCTCCGCTGAGACCCCGCCCGCCGAAGCCCCGCCCACAGAGCCGGAGCCAATGAGCGGCAGGTCGGGTTCCCGTACAGGCTCCGCCCTCCTGGTGACGTATTTTCAGGATCGGCCAGTCACAGACAGGCATCGAGATCCCCTTGACAGATCGGAAAGAGGAGGAAGCTCTGGAATCTCCTGCTGGCGTCTTCTCGGCCTACTCAATTTTCTGGCCCCTTTCCGCACTCAGAGCTGCCACTGACTAGGAGTTAGTTCCGGGAACCACCAAAGGGTCGAGGTTCTCCAAACGCGCAGGCTCAGCATTGACATGTATATTTGGCCATTTTCATTTGCCAGTTTATCAGTTAATCTCAGCATCTGTAAGACCAACTGCATCCGGGTCTGGGCCTCTCCTAGGCTCCCGGCTGGCATTTTCTTGTAGGACGTGCGACCTCTCCTGGCTCCAGACTGCAGTTGCTGGGTCCTTTTTTTTTTTTTTTTTAAAGCACATCTTTTTTATTCATTTTTGATAAATAATGAGAAACATTTGATGGGCATTTGGGTTGTTTCCAAGATAAAGCTATTATAAATTGTGCTTCTATAAACATGGGTACACATGTATCACAGTGTTTTCAATTCTTCTGGCAAGCTCCTATTCTTCATCTTCTCCTCGCTATTGGGACAATTTAACTTTGGAGTTAGAAGCGCATACTGATGGAGTAGACCCAGTTACCCATGGTGATAACCTGTTTGAAACTGCAAACTTCTCTCCCCTCTCCTTTTCTTCTCGCTTGCTAGTTCATTTTGTGATAACATCCCAAATAAATAACTTGACTTCAAATCTACTTTTCTGTTGTATTGCTGGGTACCCAACCCATGACAAGTGAAACGATGTACTAAGGACATTGCAAACAACTTTCTCATGTCATTTTATTCGCTTCTATACCACTTTGTTTTGTACACAATAGTGTACAGTGGATATCTTCCTGGTATTGTGAGATGTTTTGTGGTAGCTACTTTTGTCAGTAGCATAATAAGTAGCTTACCTTCTTACTTTCTTGATGTTATAGCTGTAATTTGGGATTATGATTGGGTATAGAATACACACTCAGAGGACTAAAACTCCTCTGGACATGGAATTTATTTATTTAAATGTGTCATTTAATTCCTTTAAAATATATAGATATTTAACCTTTGAAGTATATGTAAACATTAGACACTCAAAGGTAACTATTATTACTGATTGTGTACTACTTTATGCATCTTAGCCAGTTAATTTTAATTGTCAGCTTGATTGGATTAAGAGACTCCTTGGGAGGAGACAGGATTATGCAGTCCCTATAAGCTCAATGGATTCATCCACTGACATCGACAGGAAGTGTATTCTCTTCTCCTGGGCTTTACTTCCTGGTTTGCGCTACCATAACCTTTCACAATGTTGTTCCTGCGTTGGAGGCAGCTGACCATATGGACTTAACACATTCATGACGGGGCATAACTCACATGTCCTGCTGCTGTGTGGGTCTGATTTGAATTTGATTGCTCCTGCCAACTTGAACCGCTGGTGGTACACGCACGCCTGTCTCATCAGCCAGCTGGTACAGCTTCTCAGGGGGCTTTGATTACAATACTGTAAAGAAAGATTTGAGTAAGCAGACCAGCTATCATCATATTGTCATTCCTATTAAGGATGACATACTGTCATCATATTAAAGAAAACATTAAAATGGCATAAAAATTGTAATACAGCTAGTCAGTAGTATAACTGTTGTAAATACACATTATATACACCAGCAATGGGATACTTATAATATTTCCATGCTAAAATGCAGAAAATTAATTATTGATAGACTATTCATAAACATATATGTTTCTTTTTTTAAATTAATTTTATTTTATGTATTTATTTTTGGTGGACCAGGGATCTAACTCAGGACCTTGTGCTTGCCAGCCAAGCACTTACTCCACTGAGCTATTTCCCTGGACCAATTTATTTATTTAATTTATTTTATTTTATTGAGAAACAAATAACAATGAGACAGTTTCAAAACTGATTAATAGGACAGTTTCAATAATTAATACATTGTACATTGTTATCTTCTTAGTGGTTATCCATAGTACACAATACAGACAGGATATCTTGTCCAAACACTATTAGCACAAATCTTTCTTCTCATTGAATTAAGTGAAAGTAGCTGTATATCTATCCTGATAAATGTTTCTTTTAATTTAATGAAATAAATTTGCTGGTGGTTGCAATAATTTTTAGAATTTGTATGTCATGTATTACTACTTATATTTGGGTAACGATTACTCAAATTCAAGCAACTAACTATTCAGCACTTTTATAGATATTTTATTAATGTATTAGTAAAAAGACTGATAAATATGATTAGATTTCTTTGTTTCCCCAGTGGTACAAGACATCTCCTGGGCCAATCATGCATGAACTACCAGGGGTTTAAGCTGTCAAGAACACGTTAAATCTCTAAAACGGTGAGCCAAATTAAACTTCTCTTCCTTTAAGGTGAGTGTGCCAGGTATTTTGTCCTAGCAATGAGAAAGCTGACCAACATAATATGGTGGATTGACAGCTAGTGGGCAACTTGTAACACCCAGCTGAACTGAATCAGTGTGGTGTTGGGTGTGGGAGGTACACCTGAGGGTTGCTGCCAACAACATGGAAAGGAGAACTGGAGAGGAAAAAGAGGGGCTGTTGCTTCTCCTGCAAGAGCTTGTCACGCTGGCTTCCTGATGATGCGCTCTGCTGTTCTCATCACTGGAGGAGCTTGGGACCTTCATTGGAGGATGCTAAGGATGGCTGTGGTACTTTTGGGGAGAGCTCTGGTTCTTTGACTGTTGCTTCCTGGCTCCAGGGCAAAGCCCTCAGCCTGCTGGCACACAGCCTTCACTCCACTGGCATAGACTTTCTAGCTTCCACCACTGATGTTGGGACCTTCCCAGTACAGATGTGTGAAACATATTTTCGTTAGACATTGTCATAAGCTCTGGGCCTCCAGCTGGACTCATGCAGGACATTGCCGCGGGAACCAGGCCCTCAGCTGCATTACTTGAGCCTTTAGTGTGTGGGCAGATTTCTTGTACTCTTCTGTATTTGACTCTTTGGGAGACTATGACAAAATAATCCTATAAATTATGTGTCCTATGTTAAGTTGTTTCTCTTCCAAACCCTGACTACAACATATAGCACTCCAGCTTTTCTAATTTTTATAACATCTATGTTGTTTCCATCTTAATGATGAAGATTCTGGAATATAGATTTATGTACCCAAGAGCCTAAGCTGAGATCTGAACCTGAGTGTTTATGAATGTTGATGAATATCTTCACTTTTTCCTTCCATTTCATCTTCCTTCTATTTTATCAGTGTAGTGTCCACTTTACCCAGAGGTTTTGGAACATTTTATTTTTGATTATTCTGGCTGAGTTTCCTCAAATATTTACAGAATTTTTATTGTATGAGTGCTGATCTTTTAGTTTGAAAGCTTGGTGCACACACATAGACAATAGTATAATATATGTATATATTTAATGTACTTATATGCATAAGGTATATGATATGTATATAAACATGTATTTAAATGCAAACTTAAAATATAACTGTGATTTAGAGCTACTTCATCAAGCTTGTCTTAATCCTTTGCTCATTGGTAGATTTTAAGTGACTTGAGAGATGATCAGCTGTGTTTCAGGTTTAGACAAAAGTTATCAACCCCTTTTCTAGCACTGCTTTCTGTCTTTAAATTGGAGAGCATTATATCTAGCTCATAAAATGAGTTTTGTCCTAGGGAATATCTGGAGTTGCAGTGGCCAAGATGGAATTCAATCCTTTTGTGACTTCATATGAAGAAAGGACAATGAAAAGCATTTCAATGTGCCATCCTACATTTGCAGGAAAATTCTGCCTTTCCCTCTTTCCAAAGAGCTGAGGTGGAAATACAGTGTTTGCTGTATGCCCACCTGAAAGGGTGATGAGGTTCAGGTTGTGCGAGGACACTATAAAGGTCAGCAGATTCTCAAGGGGGTCCAGGATTACAGGAAGAAATATGTCAGTTACATTGAATGAGTGCAGCAGGAAAGGGCATATGGCACAATTGTGGCACAATCACCAGGCTAAAACTAGACAAAGGCTGCAAAATGATCCTGGAATGGAAAGCCAAGTCTCACCAAGTCAGAAAGAAAATGGACAAATATAAGGAAGAAACAACTGAGAAGATGCAGGAACAAAGTCCTACTGTCTGTGACTTTAGTTAAAAACTGCTAAAGTGAAAAACAAAATGATGGCATAAACAACAAAATATACAACTTCTTCAGGACCTAAACTCAGAAACTAAGTTTAGGTCCTCTTCAGGACCTAAACTAAAGAGAGAGAGAGAGAGAGATAGAGAGAGAGAGAGAGAGAGTCTAGGAAATGGGAGGAAGCTGTTAGGAAAACTGTTACAGAGAAGTTGCAGAAATGGAGGATACAGAGGAAAGGAAGAAGCAGCCTGGAAAGCTGAGCACAGGTCCCTGGGTAGGGGATCTGTCTCTGCTGATGCAAGGTAAAGCTGGAGAGGGTTGGCAGCTCCAGGGAGAAATATGTCAACCAGATTGGCAGTGCAAGCCCATAAAAGTCAATGCTACTGTAAAATGCAAAAACTGTGTGGTTTTACCCTGAAAATGAGGCCTTTAACATGGTAGGCTGAGTTGGAGAACAGGTCCAATGTAGTGGCCACCATATTTGAAAGGATATAATCAAATAATTTTAGAAAGGGGTTATTGTTGATAACTGAGACACAGCACAAGTACAGAAGACCTCCACCTCAGTATTTCTGGTGTTACTCTATCACAGTGTCCAGGTGGGAGAGGGTCTCAAGAGAAGGAAAAAGAGAAACATGAGAAGACAAGAAAACAAAATGCCTCCAAAAACTGCCCGTGTCTCCCCAGCTGATTCATGGGGCACTGAGGGGGAGGAAATCAAACCTACACAGCTGAATT